TTTGTGTCAACTCACTTTTTGGATTATAATAATAATAATTATAATAATAATAATAATACTTTTTTTTGCATGTTTTTTTTTCAACCAGAGATCTTGCATTAAGAGTACTCTCCATTGGGTCATATGACTTCAGAGAGTATCTTTCACAGAATATTTGTAATGCCAAGCAACACAAACTTCTGAAATGATGAAATACCAGACTTTATTCCTATTTTTTCAATGCACAACTTTAATTTTGATGGTACAGACTCCAACGCCCCAATGATAACTGGGATAAGAATGGTCTGAACACTCCACATTATTAATATCATTATTATGATTGATTATTATGATTATTATGAAGTAGTACACCAATAAAGTGATACCGGGGGTGGGGGATTAATATACGAAACCCAATATACCCATAATGACACCATTCTGATAAAGATATATAAGGCACATGTATCTGCCAAATATGCATGTTATGAAGACAGGTTTTTATAAAAACAGCACATAACATTGAAGCTTGGGCTTACTTAGAAATACATTCAGATCAGATAATCCAGTCTGCTTGGACTGTTTTTAATTGATAATGTTGACAAGTATCTTGATATGACTCCTAAGTCATCTTGGCTGTCTTATCCTTCAACCTTAAAAAAAAACAAAAAAAAAAACTCTTGACACCCAGCCATGATTGCCACCCTATTACTCATACTCATGAACACTGAAGCACAGTGTGCCAGTCCCTAGGGGACATGCCCAGCTGGTTATTGTCAAGCAAATAATAAGCAAATATTTTGTACTAAATAGATTTGCTGGAGCCCATCTTAATTCACCAAGAAGGCAAAATATGTAGCTGTTAACACCTCCAATCAATTATGATCAATAGCCATGAGAGCTATGCCTTGTGTAACATCAGGGCATTTTTTATTATTATTATTATTATTATTATTACTGCTGTTGTTGTTGTTAAGTGAGCGAGCAGCATACCAATAAAATGATGTTGAGTTACAAATATATGTAACCCAATATACCCATCAAAACAGCCAGTTGGTATACCAAGCATGTACATCATATTACAGAGTGAGAGATTAGTACACCAACAAAGTGATGCTGGGGTACAAATATACAAAGTCCAATATATCTATCATGACACCCAGTTTTTGTTGCTATCATTATGTGGGTTTGCCTGAGCTTAGACTTAAACAACTACTTTTAACTTCAACCCCATCCCAGGCTTTTGCATGTCAGTCAAAAGAGCTTAACTCTCCAAAACACTGGTAACTATTTCAGTGTATATATGATGTAACAACCAGAATCTTGAACATCTGGTTTTCCATCGTATATTCTCCCTTTGTTTTAATGTGTTCAAAATGTAGATAATCACTGTTTCTCCTTGAAATGAAACTCCTACATATCCATCACACAATAGTAGTAGTATTATCTTTATGGAGCCTACACTATTTACATTATTCGAACTATGGTCCTCATCTTTGTCACCATATTTATTACAACGTTTCGGACGTTGTAAACTCCGACCTTCTTCAGGTGGTTGGAATGTCAAACTGAACCCTTTATTTTGCTCACTGCGGTAGACTGTTCTAGTTCCACGTGCCATGTTTCAAGTACACATGGCACAGTGGATAAAGGCGTTAGATCCACTGACAGGACCCAAAGAGTGTGAGTTCAATACCCGGTTAAGCCAGTGGAGAACTTAGAGAGGGGAATTAACAGGAGATAACTGATAACTGACATCCACTAAACATGGCACAAATAATTATAACTATAGAACCTTGCTTTATTGGGAAGCTCTACATAGCCAAGTGGTAAAAGCCTGTCAGATCAGAAGGTGGTTCCTCCTTTAAGCAAGGAACCAGGTTCGAATCCTGTCAGAGAGCACATTTTCTTCATTGTTTTCTTGAGTATGCAAGCCAGCAGACAAAATAAATGCTGTTCAAAATAAACACGGCATCTACAGATTATCGTAGCCCCATTGCTACTCTCTTCACGTGATAAAGGGCAAACGTTATATATCTTCATGACCTTGGCCTTTTCTTCATTGCGTTGCCCCACTCCCTTCAATTTAATATAGCAAGTTCATTTAGATTTATAATAAACCTAATGTTTTTTTTAGTTGTTTCAGTGTTATGAACTTAGTCTGAATACTCATTGTGAACATTTTTATACTTTTTATACTTCATAGAAACTCTGAATTTATTTTCTTGAGGTTTTAGGTACTTTGCAGGCCCAGTTGATGTTATTACACTCCCTTATCATATAAGACGGCGACTTCTTACGAAAGGATGGAGGACAGGAAGTAGGCAAAATGCAGACACCCTGGTCAGGTTATGTACGGAGTTATGTTCCCATTTGTTCTGCCAACTGGATGCTAGTTGGGATTTCCTATCCATTCTTACTTATGACACTCTTGCCCATTATTACTTCTGGTTACATCAAACCCATACTTTTGGCATTCCTGGCCGTTACTAATTTCAGCTACCATGGACCCTTATCTTCTGCCATTCCTGGCCTTTAATATTTCCAGCTACCACAGACACTTACTTCCAGCATTCCTGGCCTTTATTACTTCTGGCTACCACAGACCCTTATCTTCTGGTATATTTGTCCTTCATTATCTCCAGCCCTGACTTCAGCCCCACCTGGTTGATTGATGTTAATGGACCTGCTTACAACAGCCCTGAACTTCCGGCTACTCATTGGTCCCTACTTCTGTTGCATGTATATCATCCAGACTTCAAAAGTTGATAGGCTCCAGAGGCAGATCTGCAATATAATTGGCCCTGCTTTGGCATCTTGTCTACAGTCACTTTCTCACAGACGCATTGTCGCCTCTCTGTTTTTCAAATACTGTCATGGCAATTGCTCCGAGGAGCTGCATTCGCTGGTTCCCAGACTTCATGATTTCAAGCGCCCTACGAGGCTGGCATCCCACTCTCACCCTTTCACTGTTGAAACTCCCAAATGTAGCCATCTCTTCTACTCCAATAGCTTCATGTCTCACACCTCTCACCTGTGGAACTCCCTTCCCTATTCCAGTTTCCTTGAGAGCTATAATCTCCAGCTATTCAAATGTAAAGTCAATCGACATCTCCAGTTGCCTTGATCTATCCACTACCCTTCTCCTCATCCTTTCCTCTATCACTCCTATCTGATCTTGCTCCAAATTTTCTGTAACCCCTTGCGTCCTAGTGGCTTCTTGCCTTGCTTGGGGTGAAACACTTTAAAAAAAAATTCTTCTAATGAACTGAATTGATGTATTGAATGAACCTGAATAAACATGTCAAACACTGGATGGAAAAAGAATCTGATAATTATAATTAAAAGTGAAAGACTTTATAAAATATTTGCTGTGTTTGCATAAAAGATGATAAATTGTCCTTAAATAAGGATTCATTTAAATAATATGAAGAGTTTCTTTTTGAGAAACAAGTAAAGAGAGAAAATGAAATTGGTTTTATTAGGTTGGTATAACTGTACTTACTATTTTATCTTGTAGCTTATCAGCAAAGTCCATTTAGACTGTCCTTGTTCTTGCCCATGCTGAGTAATGTTTGTTTCTATGAAATGCTAACACCTTGCTTCTTTTAGCTTATTTAAGTGTTCATAAAGAGCTTTTGAAACTGATTTGGATCCTTCCATTGACATAAAATATTTTGAGTTTTTTTAATTGGCTTATTTGAATTCACGATTCAAATTTAAAATTTGAATCTTAATGTCTCCTTTTTTTACACCAATACTTGAGCCTCACCCATTTTCTAATAAGTATTGTATTGATTTTGTATCGACCATTCTAAGCTGGGAGTCCTTTATGTCTATCTTGAGTATTGTGAATAAAACCAGTTCATATAATTAAGTCAAAGAATACAATTGAAATATAATATATATAGGATTGAATTTCTATTACTTCAAACATTACTTTCAATGAATACTTGTTTTTGAGTAGATGCCCTGTGTATTTTGAACAGCATTTATTTTGTCTACTGGCCTGCATATTCATGAAAACAATGAAGAAAATATGCTCTCTGACAGGATTCGAACCTGGTTCCTCATTTAAAGGAGGAACCACCTTCTGATCTGACAGGCTTTTACTACTTGGCTATGTAGAGCTTCCCAATAAAGCAAGGTTCTATAGTTATAATTATTAATAATCACATATAGAATGGTAGCTCTCAAGTGAGGTGGGGAGATTTTGGGATTTCAATTTGGCAGTGGTTTTGAACCACAGATTCAAAAATAATTTCATTTTTTCTAAAAAAAAATCTTGAAATTTTCATTAAAATCCAGGAATTATTTAATTTTTGCAAGAATTTATAAATCAATGTGTTTTTCACCATTCAAATTTCATTTTATGGTCTTGCGTTGACACCAGAAAAATAAAATTTTTAATCACAATTTTCAAGGTTTCTAAAAAGGACAAAAAATAATTTTTACATAAAAAATCCATTGATCTTTCATTTTAATAATAACACAAAGATTTTGATGAGAAAAGTTTTTTATTACATTCTTTTGTTCATTTTTTTTTTTCATAATGTATTATTCTTGTTTTTAGCAAATTCATGTAGGTACCTATGAAAAAAGTGAAAGTGACTATGTTTCCCTGTATAAAGCCCAGTAGTTACAATTTTTGCATCTGTGTAGTGAAGTCATCACAAGTCAGATATTATTACATAATTAATAATAAATAGAGAAATTCACATTTCTATAACATACAAAGAAGACCTGGTTATTGTTTATTAAATTTCTTAACAGATCAGAAATTGTACTCTCCAGTGGGACAGGCTTATCATTATCTAATCAACTTCTGGTCTCCATTGCTCAAATTTTGCTATATGTGTGCATTATTATTTGGAGCCTAAAATAAAAGCCGTTAAACGTCATTGAATTTTTGTAGTTTTACAGTCATTGGCTGTCTCCTGTTCTAACAATTTTAGTAAATGAAAAAAAATCTGTTTTTTACTCCATTGCTCAAGTTCTTATTCCAGTATTAATTTTTTTAATCTATGGAATGGTGGGGCTTCAAGAGGCGATTGATATTTTCACTAGAAACAATTAAACAATTTCTTTCTTTCTCTTTATTTTCTCTTTTAACAAGTTTTCGCCTGAAATGCCACGATTCCTCCTTGATTTTTCCCCGTTCATACTCTTTTTTTTCATCGTTTTTTCTTCTTTTTTTCTTCTTCTTTTATCTTGACTTGCACACCACGTTTCGTCTCTTTAACTCTCTCTGCACATGCGATAGGGTCAGTCATTATTCTTCTGGTCAGTACAATTCTTCTCTGCGTATCTAGCACAGCACTTCTGCAAATGGACATTGATACTTTGGAAACAAGTGGGTGAGCAAGTCAGCAAGGTATTGGAAAATTGATTTGAAAATTTATCATAAGAATAATGTTGGACTAGGCATTTAATGAATGACAACGTAACGTTAATATTAATCTTCAACTTCATTCATATTGTGACATTGTCTCAGTATTGTCTTAATTCCGGAAAATCAAAATATATTCCTAAGAATGAATAAATAAATCCGTACAATTTAAATCAAATTTGTTTAATCTTTTAAGACAACACAAATTATGGTAACGGTTCTATCATTAATTATCAATATGAAGCGCTCTAATTGCAAACCTTAGCTTGACATCTTCACAAACCTGGTGAGTTAGTTATTGCGAATGATTTTCAAGTTTTAAAACAGTTTACAAGGTTAAATCGGTACTTCAAAGATTTGACCTAAGGTTAAAAAAAGACTTTTTTTTTAATAACACTTTTTATGTGGTGACTAATAAATATCTTAGAAGAGGTGATAAGTGACAGATAATAATATGTATGTGGGTACGGGCGTAAAGTAAAAAAGGTAATAGTTTCTAGTAAAAACCGCGGCAGACACAAAAAAAAAAATAAAATAAAATAAAATAAATAAAAAAAGCTTTATTGGGAGATATTGAATGTACTGAGTAAGTTTTGCCTAGTCTTTGGTTATGTAAGAAGACGAAAGAAAAAGTAAGCCAAGTATGTGTACTGAAACTAAGAAAGAAAGAAAGAAAAAAAAAATTCTTGATAGAGAAGAAAAAAGTAAACTTTTTAATGCGCGTTTAATGACAGAAAAAGAGAGATATACCCCGCATGTGCGCGTGTGTGTTTAAGACGAGTATTTTACTAAGAGGAGGGAAAAAAAGAGAAAAACTTTTAAACAAAACACGTAGCGTAAGTTCTCTGTGTTTGTGTGCATGCTTCTGTGTTTGAGTATGCGGGCCCGATATCTGTCTTACTTTTCTCTCAGTCAGCAGCTTAAACAGTTGGCTGCAGGGTGGGGGTTGGTGTCTGTTGTCTATTCTCCCGCTTTTTTTTTTTTTTTTTTTTAAATAAATTCGTCTTTTTTTTTCTCTTTCTCTTTTCTCCCGCCATCACTGCCACTTCTTAGTGATTAGCTATTTAAACGATGCAATCAGCCAAGCCCTGATCAAACCGCCAAGGCAAGGAGGAAGGCGCGGCAGCCAAGCCGAACTAGCAAGTCTTAAGAGGCTGGCAAGCAAGTAGGTAGGTAGCTAGCTAGCTCGATAAGTAGGAAGATAGATAAGGAAGGAGGGTTATTGTGGGAAGGCAGTAGTGTGTGCAAGCAGCCCGGTTGTATCAATGTAACCTACACACAGACAATTACTGACTCTGAAAGTCACACTACTGAACCTATGAACTGATTTGTTTTTTATTTATATTTGCATACAAATGACCCTTTCCCCAGTCCAAATAAACTGCATGCATTCGCGAGCATTTTTTTAGATACACACAATCGGCAAACTCAAACATTGCTCTTACACACAGACACAGAGAAAAGCACGATTCTTTAATAAGTGATAATTCTATGGCTAGAGCAATGGTATGGAGGTTGACTTTATTCTATGGCTAGAGCAATGGAATGAAGGTTGACTTCACTCGTGGTGGCAATAGTTACATATTTCCTGCCGGAGATCGGTGTTCGAGTTAAGTTCGCAGAAAAAAGATTTACAATGTTGATTTTTTTAAGGCATGTAGGTCCTCTCTATTTTGGAAGGTTAGCGTTGTACAATCTTCCATCCCAATCCCATTTGTTTGTGTTTTTTTTTTCGTTTTTTTTGGGGGTTTTTTTGTGCTGTAAGCCAAAGTTATCAAGCATTGGAATAGACGTTTCAGAAGCAATAAAGTTACAAAGGCTTTTACATAGAAAATCTTAAATGATAGATCAAGACAGTATTATGGTAATTTTACAAATTACTTTTGATTACAAGCATATCTATTTCCGTCATATATATGGGTCAGAATCATGGCTTGTCTAAAGACGTTGATATCTTTGACAATTTGCTTTGATAAGAGAATGTGTAGACTTTGTGGAAATCTCAACTTTAAGTAATGTTATACTTGTAAAATCTATGCAACCCAGCGCAAAATTATATTTTCACACACGCACACGGAAAGGACCCCAAAGTTACTACTGATGTTCTCTAACTGTTAACCTGGTTGACTTAAAATAAATTACGGTCGCTTGGCTGCCATAATTAACCACTTTCTTTTCTACACATACCATTCATCCTACCTTTCCCCAAGCACCATGCCATCGACAGTTTCTCAGCATAACCTCCCATATTTACATATGCTACCCGTCCTATTTAATTTCTAATTGAGATATATTTACCTCCCTTTCTTCCTACTCCCCCTTCTTGTTAACCTCACGATGAAAGCAAAAAATAAAAAAACCTTCAGTCACTTTTCGTTTCATCACTCTTCGGATTTCTTTTGTATTTGTTGTTGTTGTTTTTTGTTTTATTATTATTATTATTAATATCAATAATAATGTGTTGTTGTTATCATCATCATCATCATCATCATAATAATAATAATAATTTCTTGGTGCAGGACACTTTGGAGTTGCTTAACTTTCTCGAATTTTCATCCTCTTTCTTCTTCATTCAGTCAGTTGTGTGCCATGCGTGATACACGCAGATCACCCCCCGCCGCCGCAGTAGATTGCCATTTCTTTAAGCGGTAGACCATTTGCCATCCAAGGCTATAGAACCCGTTCTATCCTGCTTTTTTCCCAAGGATATTAGCGTAAGGAATTCGAACTCGGCTCTCCGATTCCTCTAACCGAGCCGCTATCCATTACTCCACCGTGCCTCCTCATTATCATTATTATTACTATCACTGTTGTTGTTATTCGTTTATAGATTCATTATCATTTCTTTAAAAAAAAAACCTACACTTCGAGAATAGATAAACAATTTTGTGTTTGTGTGAATATATTTTTTTTACTCTAGATACGAATGCTGTTAGCGACAATCTATAATACTACATAAGTTACTACAAATAATATTATAACGAATAATACTAATATTGAAGAAAAAGAGCAAATGTCTTATAATCCAGTTCTGCGTGTTAAAAATGAATTCTGCAGTATAACAAACGTACTAAAAATCATAGACCGTTAATGTTACTAATTAAATGTTAAACATTCTTCATCTTCTTCTGATTAGCTATTTTATTAGTAATACAACTGCGGCATTCTTTTTCTATGTACATTGTACATTAAGATTTTTAAAAAACTCCCCATTGTTTCAACAACAAAAAAATCGTTTAATGTTTCTTAAAGCATTTACGAAACATAAGCTTCGAAAAAGCTTGGTCCTTCAAATAAAAATAGCATGTGCTGTTTCTTCTTCAGCAACAACAACAGGTAAATTAAAGCAAAACTGCTACCACCCTTTATCCCACTGTTTGCCATATAAAACAAACACTATCTTGAAAGGTTCAGTTGGCCCTGTAGTTTTGGGTGGTAGATATAAAAATGTTAGGGTCTGTGTGTACCCATCCGCCAGACAACTGACTAACAATATAGTATTTATTTTAAAAACTATTATCGTAACAGTGTTATAAACTCGAAATTAGAATATACACTAAAAAGAATATACAAGAATCGGATAATAAAAAAATTATTAAAAAAAAGGAAGAAGAAGATTGGATTGAGTACTCCTCACGCTCAGAAGAGAGGAAAAAAAGAGAGAAGATGAGTACTTAATCGATATCTGATCGATGTCTCAGCAGTAAAGCAGCCAAATCATTTATATTTGTACCTTCTTTCAGTTTTAAATGAATGATTATTAGACTATGTATTTCTGTGTGTGCGTTGTCTGAAGGTGATTGATCAAGCCCACGGGCAAGAAAAGGGAAGCTCAAGCCTGTCGCATACACATAGGCGAACAGTAGCTCACAATTACACTAGCAGGCGGCTGGTTGGGTACGAACTAGCCTTGCTTTAACCATGCTACGTTAAGTGCTTGAAATCCAACCCTGATTGACAGGGGTTCAGTCTTTCTTTGTGCTCAGCCTACTCTACCCTTACATTGCTATCTATCCACCACTACCACCATCCGTTGTCTTTTCGCCTGTCTTTGATGATTTATTGAAGAATTTGAAAGACTTGAGTGAAGACATATAGAAGGCAGGGAATATAGAGCTTGAAAGAAAAGTAATATATACATGTATATATATATATATATATATATATATATATATATATATATATATGTATGTATAACGTAAACAGATAATGTTTATTTACTAATCTAATACTTTTTATATATTAATCTTTTTCAAAATTATGATGAAGTTCGTAGTTGGGCGAAACGTGTCACAAAATTTTAACGTCTTCTACTTTGTCATTTCTCTCCCTATGCATAGACAGAAGGATCAACACCGCACAGTGACTGTCAATTCCACAATTCAATGTGATCTTCAGACTCTCTCTCCCTCTCTCATAAACACAGGGAAATGTTATAAATCTATTATTTTTCGTTTGTGTGTACTCTTTGCTGTTTTTTTCTTGTCATTTCATCCTTCTTGAAACTGCTTCTTTCTTTCCTTCCTTTAGTATTTCCTTCTTTCTTTCGTCTCTTTTCTTTCATTCTTTCTTCACTTAGTCTTATTCTCTCATCTGCATGACACGCCTTTCTTCTTTCGTTCGCCAATCCATTTATTTGTTCACACATTCAATTTCATTTATCAATTCACGAAAGCTCAATATCGAAACTCTTTCGCCTTAACATCAGCTCCAAACTCTTGTCAGCTCTTGAAGATTTATTCCTTACTCTCTATTTTTTTTCTCTTTCTTAACAAGTCTTCGCTTGAGATACCTTGACTCCACCTCGGTTTTTAGTCTCCCCCCCCATTTGTCCTCTTCGCATTGTTTTTATCTTGACTCGCATACCACCTTTCTTCTCTTCATTTCTCTCCATGTGTGATAGGGTCATCCATTATTTTTCTATACATTACAATTCTCCCTGAATTTCACTTCAGAAAAAGACATCATTTACACATCATCATCATCATCATCAAAACAACAACAATAATAATAGAATTCGATAAAATGTGAGCTCAAATCAGAAAAAAAGGCGAATTCAATGAATTTTGTATATTTTTCTTCTTTAGTTCAAGAATAACAATGCATTTAAAAATACCAGTAAAAAAAAAAAGAAAAGAAAAAATATATGAAAAACCTAACCGATGAGGAAAAATGCCAGCTATTATCAGCGGTTTCTTGGCAATGTTCAAGAATCTTTGATGTCTTGCAGTAGCTCTGAATAAATTCTTTCTAACGGTAATCTAATAATTTTAGATAAAAAAATAGATTATTTACGTAAGCACATCAATAATTATATAGCCTAATGAAGAAATAACATTTATTTTACAAAGTAATCTATTCTCTTGTCAAGTAGCTTAATTCACTAGTGTATATTTGATATGTGATACATAGATCGAACATTATACAGTAAAATATTCATCAAAATTCAACTAATAACTGTGTTGGGGTATGAAGTTATTGATTCACCTTCACACACAATTGATATCTATTTTCATATGGGAAATATAGTCCAGTAAATATGAATATATTATTCAGTGGACTATATTTTACCTTATGGAAATAGATATGAATTGTCTGGTGAGTATTCATCTCAGATGTTTATGAATGATTCTAGTAATTTAAACTATCCAATAAAGTCTTCAACCCAATAAAAGCGAATAAAATGTAAAGCCTCTCTTTCGTATTTAGTCGTTAGCATCTGTTTATTTTTCTCCCAAGGTTCATCAATGAACAAACTCATGTAATATGATATCTAACTTCTACCGTTTAGCAACGACCAAAGATAGTTAAAAATGACCTTGGCTGACGTCATTCCATTAACATAGTCTTCCGTTGTTGTCATGGCTACTACTACTCGAGTCGACAGTTGCCGCCATTATCTTTATACTGCCGCGACCACACTCTCACTGAAATGCTGGTACAAGTTGAACAAAAAGTTAATATGGCGGCTAGTACCGTCGTTCGATAATGGTTCAATATTATTTTTGGTTATAATTTTTCTTTATGCGATGAGTTAACAAGGCTACTCATGAATTTTTCAAACTTTAATTCTTTGCCTACTAATAATGGTTCCTTGTGAAGTCAATTTTTGTGCTACGGGGAAGTTGTAGATAGCTTTTTTTTTCTTTTTTTTTTTAAACTGAAAATTTGAGGACAAGAGATAATGTATTGGATCGAATTGTTTTTCATCTTTACGCCCTACTTCTCTTTGTTGTTATTTCCAAATCTTTGTTTTCATACGTTCTTTAAGAACGTCCTTAGTTTAAAAGGCTAACCTCCTGGCCACATAATCTGTCTTCCTTTAAGAATGCTCTTGATACCTGCATAACTCTGCGAACGCCAGTTCCTTCTAAAATGGCGCCTTTGATTATGTAGGGGCTTTTTTCATATTCTACCTGATGCTGCTTTATTTTTCTACTCGAGAGCTTTGTAGCCAAATCGTTTTCAGTTATTTTTAAAAGTGACTTTTTTTTTTTTGTTAATTTTAATCAAAGCTTTAGTCATCTTTTTCAATTCGACTTTTTTTTTTTTGTCCAGTTTATTTCTTTTGTTCTTTCCAAGGACAAAATAAAGAAACTAAGGCGCCATTTATTTTTAAATGGTTGTAGAAAGTTGTTTGGGTTTTTAGTTATGTATTTTAAACTTTCAGTCTTTTATGAGAATTAAGCCATTAATATTTTGTTTATTCTTGTCTTCTCTGGAACTCAATACGACCTACTTTTGCCGCCACCCCGCTGGCGAATGCTTCGAAATACCCCCTTCTTTACTATCGTTTGTTTTTTGTCATTGTCATTTCTACCAACACTTTTTTGCCGTCTCTCTAAAAACGCCGCTCTCACTGGACGTCTCTCTTTTCTCACCCTTCACTAAGAGTGTTGTCAGTGAATACTTCCAAAAATAATTACGTTGCTATCGATTCTGGCTGCTACTGCTAGGGTCGGCTGGATCCAAGCAGTCCAATTTTCCGTTGCCACAGCAACTTGTGTGGTGATGGAAGTTGGTGGTAATGCCAGTGATAATAGAGGAGGAGAAGGAGGAAAAACAGAAAGAAAAGTAATATTTTATTTTATGGCATACCTCCTCTTTCTCTCTTCTGCGTTCTTCATCTATTTTTTTCCTCAATTCCTCCTTCTGTTTTATCTTGCCCCTCCTACTTTTTTTTCTTTCATTTTACCTCCTGCTTCACCTCTTCAATTTTCTTTATACGACGCCTCTTTCATCTTCTGACGCCTCCTTTTTATACTGTGTATAATTCTCTCCCACTTAGTTTTTTTACCTCCCACCCTTTTTGCTCGTAATTTTTTATGGTATAATTTTCTCTTCATCTCCTCCTCATCCTACCCTCCCACTTCATTTTATGTGCATCCTTTCCCTTCATGTACTAGTACTCCTCCTCTTCTCAATAATGGCCGAGTGGCAGTTGGTGTACAGCGCCATCTTGATTGTTTTAACGGTTGTCTTGATGGCCATCTTCTGTTCTTGCTTGAATAGGTCACACCAAAGACCAGAAGAAGGTAAACAATAAAATTTAAAAAAAAAAATGTAATCAACAAAACATTTCAACTACAAGAATCTGTGGATGGCCACTTTTAGTCTTATATCTCTTCAGCTTTCAACACTTCAGTTCAACAAATTAATGCCGATGGCATTCACTAATCTTTCCAACATATTCCATTAGTTTCTTGTTTTCCACTTTTGTCCATTTTTATTTGTCCACTTTCAAGATTCTTGAATATTTCTTTTAAGGTCAATGGAGGACTATGATGATATTCGACTCCAATGAAAATAACGAACACTTTTCAACGTGATTGCCTTATGCATAGTGAAACAGATGTTTATCACAAAATTTTATTGCTTTCGATCACACAATATAAAATATGCACGTTTATGTATTACATATGCAAGGAAAAAAAGTTGCAAGAAGTGAATACATAGACAAGATGATTTCAGCATAATTATCGTCAACCCGTATCAAGTGATAAACTTTTAGTAAACAAATTCATTTAATGACAGCCAACATTTTTTTTCAACTTTCTCTTAAAGGTTTCATTTTTGAACATAAAAAAAGGAAGTTCTGTCATTATAATGCGATATTCAGCAAGTGACGTTGCCGGTCGTATAACTTGGTCTTTAAAAACCGACAAATATTTTAATAAGTTTACTTTGTGTTTCTGGTTTGTAAAAGATTAATCGCATTTACAGTGTTAAAACCATTTCAACAATTAATTCAGATTATAAGTTAAAATTAACGCCTTTTTACAGTTCTATCTCCTAAGAAAAATAGTAGTAGTAATAGTAGTTGATGTAGAAACAAACTAACAGTAGCACTTGAGCTTGTAATTGTTTAAAGCTTCAGACCGCATTTAGTGCAACAACCCACGTTTAGATCGTTCCTAAAAAACAAATGCAATTGTCTCTTAAACCTAAATTTTAACTTGTCAACTTCAGGACCGACTTTAACTTATTCGATTTGGTAGCTTTTTTGTTTATATGACAACAAATTCTGTGAAACTTCTTAAAGCACAACCTCGGCTGATTTTTTTGCTAAAAAAAAAAAAAAAAGAAAAAATATTTGTTCATTCATTTTATTTAACCCAATAAAGGCCTGTCATTCTTCAAGGATAGACCATGGTGAAGAAACCAATATGGCGTCGTCTGCGTTAGCGGGTACTCCTCCCCTTCCTCTTGCTCCACAGTCATTGTACTAACAATGACTCATGGTTTTGTCATGTGATTTAGGTGTTTGTCGACAGGCAAGGTTAAAATTTGGGACTCCACGTCATCGAATTTAGAAAATTTACAATATTTCAGTCAAATGTAATGTGATTCTCAAAACTTCATATTACCGAACGTCAAAGTAAACTTGACTTAAGATTTGGGAACCTGTTATTATGCAATAATAAGTTATGTGAGTAAGTCTCTAGTTAATATAAAGAAAAAGGTTTCTTCGTAATCAAAAGACCCACTGCTTTATCTTTAGATGTCTCAATAAGACCAACTTTGTTTATCAATCACATTGAAACACGTATTTCTTAATGTGTCACACGAGACAAAGGTAACGGTAAAAACGTTTAGAGGAAAACTAAAACAAATATGGATCTTGTGTCTGTCGACATATTGGTTTCAGCTATGATTCATATAACTTCTGTGTATACGAGTTGGTTGGTTTGTTTTGAGGTTAAAACGTATTTAGCCTTTGCTTTATCTGCAACGAGCTGAAATGTCACAAACGCCTAAGAATATGATGTTATTGAATAAAGGTCAATTTATAACGTTTTGCATGATGGTCAAACTAAGAGGCCTCGAAATCTTTGCTTTAGTTGGTGTTAAATAAAATGTTACACAAATAATATATAATGACGTTTTTGCTTGTTATTCAAACAAGCTGTCATATGACATTTTTGATGGTAACAACAAATTTGTAATAGTATAGACACTGTTGAAATGGTGATGATCAATGGTCTAAAAGGACAAAAAATAAATTGTTGTGGGTAATAATATGTAATATAAAAACATAAATTAAGAGATTTAATAAATGTAAAAATATAGAAAATATTCTGTTGCTGAAACATTCCAGGGTTTAATAATTTCCTTTCTCAACAGTCACCATATAGTGTGTTGCATAGCTAAGTTCGTAAAGTAAAGAGGTTGAATAGAATTCAAGATGGCGGAAACAGTATGCTTGGCTTTTATGGCACTGACCTATTTTCCAAGCTTTAACATCAACATATTTTATTCAACAAAATTAAGATATCACAATGCTGAATGCACTGAAA